TTTTTAAATGAGTCATATAAAAGTTATCACTCTTATGATAATAGAATTACAATAATAAACTTATTTTATATTGTTATTTATATTAGGCTCTATTCTATAAAACTTAGTTTTGATTTTACTTTAGTAAACTGATAATTTGAAATAATAACAGGCGCAATGCTTTCATACTAACATTTATTTTCTTAAACTTTCTTGTAAAATGCTTTTTATTAAGTTTTTTTTATGAAAAAGTATATCAAATCATATTAAATGATATCATAACAAGACAGAAATTTTAAAATAAAGACATGGAATTAAATTTCAAAAGTAGCGCAATATAAAATATTAGTGGAAGTCAAAACGGCATTTCGCCTTGACGAAAAAGTTCACTTTGCGATTTACTTGTCTTTTGGCAAATACCCTTAAGTCGTAACGTAAAATTTATTTACAGAGTAAAAACAAAATTCCATCTCTATTGGATGTTTGCATACTTTTTCACTTTATTTAATTAGAGAATGGTTTTCATTTTATCCCCGATCTCCCACCTGTCCATAAATCGCTGCTAGAAAATTTCCGACTTTTCTATTTCCAAGATTGCGAGGGGGAGTGGGAAGATTTAAAACATGGGAAGTTGAATCAATAATTGATTTAAAATTGAATTATTTTAAACATCTAAATGTTTTTGAGCATATGTCAAACAACCAGCAAATACTTATTTTATAAAACTTTTTTATCAAAAGTGAACTATAATTAAGTGAAAATGAAGAACTACCTAACATTATTGAGAATAGATTTAATTAAGTTAATAGAAAAAAAAAAAAAATTGAATGTCAGAAATTTGAATAAAAAGTGAAAATACGGTGATGTTTAGTGTAAAATAAAAAAGACTGAAATTATTTCCTTAAAAAAGAAACAACTTCTAAAATATCACAACTAAAAAAAGAGATGGCAATTATTAATTCAATTCTCGAAAGTTCTGATATAAACTTTACTGAATTAAAAAAAAGGAAAAATGTTGCAAAAAAAAAGTAATTATAAAATTGCTTTTCAAAATAAAAATAACAACATAAATTAAAAAAAAGGAAAAAAGTTGCAAAAAAAAAAGTAATTATAAAATGGCTTTTCAAAATAAAAATAACAACATTAATTAAAAAAATATGATAAATCTTGTAAGTTTAAAAGAAAAAGTTTCAGCAATATATTATAAGCCAAATATTTTAGAAGAGGAAGAGCATAAATCTAGTAAATTGGATTCTTTGTTAATTGACGAGAATATAATAACTTTTGAAGATGGTATATACTGTGATGACATTTGGCAAGTGAATCATGATATTGCTTTCAATGAATATAAGTATAATTAGCGTCAACAATTTCATTTAATTAGTATAAAACAAACTAGCAAAAAAGAAATGTGTCTAGACTACCATCAGCAGCTGTAAAAAAGCAGTTTAATGCAGGAAGATGCAGTTTTAGGTCCGTTTCAAGTTGCTAAAGCAATGCCTAAAAATATTCTGGCAGATAAAGACTTTAACTTTGGCAATTGTTTGCGTTGTGATGGTTCTCAGAAACACAACAAACTTTATCACAACTTTAAAACTACAACAAAATGTGCAACAAAATTATCTTTTGTTTTGACAGAATTGATTGGTGGTGATGCAGCTACTATCTTATAGAGCTTTACTAACACAATAGACAATCTTTGTGACGTTGTTAGCAACTCCACCATGATAAAAAAACTCAGTTTTGCTAAGTTAATATCATCAATTAAATCAACAATGTCTGACCTCGGTCCAGCTAACCCTCTATTTAACTCATAACTAAAACCAATAAGAGGAAAACTTTTGCAATCAATAAATGGGATTTACGGTCTTTGAAGATAATATGAAGGATATGAGTAGTTTTTTCTGCAAACTCCATTTGCTTACTAATTTTGCATCTAAAACTGATAAAGTTTTGATTTTTTTTGAAAAAATATGTTACAGGATAATTATGTGAATGTTTTTGTCTTTATTAATAAAGAAAGTTGCGTTCCTATGTGGGTTGGTAACACCTGTAAGGCATTTCATTCAAGAGGTATTGAGGAAGCTGGTGTTGCTTTATATTTATTTCTTTTCTTTTCTCTAGTAATGAAAAAATATTTTTTGCTCTATTTATTGGAAATTGTTTTAATATTTTGTATTATAATGTTATTTCCATATATTATCACATGGATGTCATAATATAAATTCTTAATGAGTGACCAGATATCACAAATCTTGTATTTATTGGTGAAGTTTGTGAATTAGAAATCATTGACAATCTACTTACAGATTCTTTGTTGCAAACTATTAAATCACTTGATAGCATTATACTATTGAACCCCTACTAACTTCTTTTGAAAGTTAGACTTTCTACTTTTTGTAAGTTTGCATATTCTTGCAAATAGAAAAGTTTCAGAAGATACTAGTCTTCTGCATAAAGATATGGTTTATTGCAAACTGTTTGAAAACATAAAAAATAAGTTGTTTGATTCTTTGACATTTTAATCATTTAAAGTTATTTTTTATGCTATTCTTGTTATTTTGTAACGTCAGTGTGCTCATCAGTTACCTCGTGGTTAATATTAGAATCCATTTGTTTTGGTTTCTGAGACAGCTTCTAATATCACTGTTACTAAGGAATTTGACACTATTATTTTATAAAAGGTTGAATTAGAAAAGTTGGGTAGTCAGGAATCGGAAAATGGTGAGCATGAAAAGGAAAAGCAAATTGATGATGAGATTTTAAACAAAACATAACTTTGTTGCTTAATGACAATGTTTATCATTTAATTGAGCATGCACTTTAGCAGAGGCTAACTTTTGCAATTGATGATATGCAAGGAATCCGTGAGAGGTCAGCATTAATAACAATCTGCAAAGACGTCAAGAAGTATTTTGCTGTTTATAGATATAGAAATGTCAACAAAAATTTGCTATATTGCGTATATTATTAGCAGTATACAACTAATTATCTTTGGATTTAAAACTATTAGCTATTTTATGCTCCAAAATATTACAGAAAAAAGATTACACTTGAAATCAACTGCCCGTTCTAAGCAATAAAAATTCATGATGTTTTTGTCAAAATATAAAATTGTATTGTTCGCAAATAAGGACACATTAAATGTAGGCGTTGGTAAAATTTTTAGTATAAAAAAGATATAATTGATCCTTATAGTACCCGAGTAGTTACTGGAGTGGAGTAGTTAACTTGGTGTTTCTGGCATATTCGTGTATGAACTTTTAAAATTGTCATCATAAGAACTAATTTTACAATTTCTCTGCATCTATAACTGTATATATCTTTATATGTGAAAAAACATTTAAAATTGTTAAAAAAAATTAATTTTTACAATTGTAATTATATATAATACTATAAATTTAAGAAATAATACAAATATAAATAAAGTTCTATATATTATTACTTAAATATAAAATTATATTAATAAAAATACTTAAACAACAAGGTTTAAAAAATCATAAAAAAAGTTCGGACTACATTTATCTGCTTTTAACTACATTTATACTTAAATACCACATATATTTAGGTAGATATATGTAGTATTTAAGATCTAAAAAAGTTGTACTATTTTTTCTACATATATCCATATATATTTTCTACATATATCCGTTGTGGGATTACCAATTTTAAATCCATTAGGTGCAAATTTATATTTATTATATGGCGGGGAAAAAACACGCCATATAAGGGTTATAAAACACATATATAAAATGGTAGCCTAGAATAGCTCACTTTTAATATAAAAAAATGGCCCAACCATTCATAACCTACATTTGCGCCATCCCATAAATCGAGTATGGCTATCTTATGAGGCCCTTTGTTTTTTATCAGTTCATTTTTCTTTTTTATTTTTTTATTAAAGAGGTTCTATGAAAAGATGGTGGCGACACCAGCCATCTTTTTTTTCTTTGAGCCCGTGTCTGTTTTTTTTATGTAACGTAAAAATTTCATTATAATTTAATTATTTTATTTTTATATAAACAGCAATATATATATATATATATATATACATATATATATATATATATATATATATATATATATATATATATATATATATATATATATATAAATATATATATATATATATATATATATATATATATATATATATATATATATAATATATATATATATATATATATATATATATATATATATATATATATATATATATATATATATATATATATATATATATATATATATATATATATATATATATATATATATATATATATATATATATATATATATATATATATATATATATATATATATATATATATATATATATATAATATATATATATATATATATATATATATATATATATATATATATATATATATATATATATATATATATATATATAGGTAGTTATATTTTTCCACTATTTTAATTTATAATTATTTTATTTACCGCAATATCGCAAAATAACATCATTTGATATATTCAAGATCATGATATATTGATATATTCTTTATGCAAGAACTTTTTTTTTTTTTTTTTTTTTTTTTTTAACATGTTTATTTCACAACTACAAAGTATTTACAATTGAGCAATCATCGATTGGCGAATAAAGATATACAAATATAAATCTAAAATATTGTTACATTCAACTTTGAGACATGATAAAAATAAATACAAAGTACACAATAGAATATATATGTATATATGTATATATTCTGAAGATCTCTTCAAAAACTCTTGAAAAACTCTTGAAAGCTCTGATATAATTTGTAAAGCATTTATTAATTACTATAAAACATGTTTAATTTTGACAAACAACCTTCAATTTAGTAACTATAATATAACTAAACGATAGTTCTTGCATAAATATTGATAAAACTTAACATAATAATTGTGTTATTATTATACAGAGCACTATTTTTCTAAACAATTTACAAAAGCAAAAGTAGTATTGATTAGACTATTTCGTAAAATATAATATACTAAATTAAAACAAAAAAACTCACAGATAATGGCTTCACAAACTTCTTCTTTGTTGAGTACCTTTAGAAAAAATTTAAATTATATAAAAAAAGAAATGAACGCTTGAAAACGAGTAAAAAATAACAATAAAAAGGAAGTAATGTAAGTAATTTAATTAAAGTAGTTCAATTTAAAGTTTAAGGTTTTTTTATAAGTATGGTGAATTTTAGTATACAATTTTTTCATATTATATTTGAACTGTTTTTATTGGTAACTCTAAAAATTTTCTCATTTACTCATTTACAGGTCCCCAAAGCAAAAGTTAGTGGAAAAGATATTAGTAAAATAAACGATACCTGTAAAATATAAAAATAGTTTAATAAACTTTAATTATAAACATATAATATATGTCATATAGTTTGTTTTGTCATTAAAAAAATTTGATATAGTTCCGTGTAATATAAATAATAGTTACGTGACTAAGGTAAAAAAAAAAAATAACATCATTTGACTTATTATTACGATCCTTTATCTGTGATGTGCTGTCATCGTAAAGCGCATCTTACAAATATTCAAAATATAAAAAGTAAAAAAATGGTAGTGCAGTCAATATAATACGTGAGATAACAAAAATAAATAATAATTGTAATGATAATAATAGTAATACTAAAAAAAAACATAAAACATTACCCCAGAAAAACTTTATATTATTTGTTTAAACAGAAAAAGGAATGTTGAGTTTTTAAAATTACTCCATAAATTAGGACTTCCAGAAGTCTTAAATTATGTAATATTAGTCAAAGTTCCAATAAAGAATTTGGTCTCCAAGTAATGCATTTGAAGTTGTATGTGAATAATTTTATTGAAAAGTGTGTTGAACACTATTTGGTTTTTTTTCCGAAAAACTGCTCAAAAAAAAATTTGATAAATATTTCACTTAAAAACGTTTAGTACATTATTAATTATAAATAGATCCTTTAAATCAGCAAACCAACTTGGATTTAAATAAACTCTGACAGTATTGTTTTGTTTTCTCAACAGTTTCTTAATTTTGTTTACAATAGAGCTGCACCAAGCGATATTTGCATAACTTAAGTAGAGGATATTTTATGGATTTTTAGTGATTTAAAAAAATTTAAGTAGAAGAGATTGAAGATGAGGAAGAAATTTAAGATATATAAGCAGTTTTGATTTAATAAATATTTTGCTTTATATAGAATGCTAAAATTTTTTGAAAGTTTATTTTAAATAATGATTATTTGGCCTCTACAGGTAATATTTTTATCAAGAATAACACATAGAAACTTCAATTATTGCTCCCGAATTATAATGAGTTAACAATGAAAATCAAAAAATTCATTTGTTTTCTTTCTTTGAAAAAAAGTCTTTGAAAAAAAGTTTGTTTTATTAGTACTTTAGAAAGTTTATTAGGCTTAAACAATTCTGTTAATTTAAAAAAAGTTTTATTGAATATTTTAAAAATAGATTGAAAGTGCTATTAGAATAAAATAAATCCGTATCTTCTGCAAATAACACTGAGTTTAAAATATTTGAAAAATTATGTAAATCATTTGTTTAAATAACCGATAAAGAACGCCCTATAATTGATTTTTAGGGAATGAGTTATTGCTAAGAAATACGGCTTTCCTTTTTCAAAAAATTTGATTTGTTTCTTAGATGTGATTTAAATGTATATATTTTTAATTGTGTATGTATGTGCTTCTAATAACATATTTTTCGCTATTTTCTTTTATTAAGAAAGATAAAATAAACTGTATCGAAAGCTTTCCCAAAATCTAAAAAAACTCTAAGTGTAAAGTTTTTTTCTTCAAATGCCTTTAAATTTATAGCAAGTATAATGCAACAATAAACCTTGCAATCTTTTTTTTTTTTTTTATACCTCTAGTTAATGCAGTTATATGTAATAAATATATGTAAAAAAGAAATGAAAAAAGTATGTGAAAGATTGTTATAACAATTATTAAGGTTATATAACAATTATTAACGTTAATAGCCCCGTGAATTTTTGCCTCAAATTGGGTTAACTCAAAAAAAATATTATAAAGACAAGTTATATATTGTTTGAAATTCTTTTCGTTAAAATAAGTAGTTATAACTTTTTTTTTATGTTAAGGAAAATAGTCATGATGTTACAAAGATTAGGGAACAAATTACAAACTTTTAAAATTTGTTGATGAATTTTTAAAACTTTATTAGAAAACTGCATTTTTATTTTAACAATACCTACGATTATTAATATCAAAAGAAAGCATTTAAACAAAATGTCTCTATTTATTTAGAAAGAAATCTAATCACGTAGAGAATTCTTCTATTATAGAATTAAAAATAATAAAACTGTTTGAAATAACATAACACTTTAATATGAAAAAATCTTTATCTTAAACTTTTTGTGTTGTATATTAGCAGTATTTGTTATATGTGATATGTGTGTTTTCATATTTAATTGATAAAAATTATTAAATAATTTACAGCGTATTTTTAAAACGACGGTTAAGGTGGAGTGATTCAATAAACTTTTGAAATTAGGTTTGCCTGTGTTTTGAAACATAGATAATTTTTTATGAACAAAAAATTCAAAAAATGTACTTAAATATTTGCTTTTTTGCAAAGTAGAGTCGATAATGTCGCCCCATAATAAAGTAATGTTTTGCCATATAGCCTATTCTTAGGGATACTGAAGCCGTTTGCCTCCCAAATTATTTTCAGAAGTGGTTTCCAACTCCCAGTTGGAGTTTCATGAAAGCAAAATGTTTTGGAGACTAAAACCATTATGGAGGTGGAAACCGTTGGTGGCCGTCTCCAAAAAAAAGTTTTTGAGAAAAATTGTTTTGGAGGTCGCTTCTAGTGGCTTTTGGCTCCTATGTGGATGTAGTTGCAAAACTAGATGGCTGAAACGTTTTTAATTTAACGATTTACTTAATTACTATTGGCTATTCAATTATTAATTAGAAGAAAACATAAAAATAGTTATTAAAGTGAATTATAGGAAAGGTTTTGACTATTTAAAGCAAAAAAATAATTTAGATTAAAAATAATTTATTTGTTAGACTTTTTTTCAACAGTCGACATCCTAATTTTTTTATTTATTTTATTATTTACAAAAACGTTATATTTTTATTTTTAATTATTATATATTAAAAAACAATATCTTATTCAAAAGTATTTTTTTTTTTTTTTTTGTTCTTTTATTTTTATCATGTTGTGATTCTACATGATTGGTACAAAGTTATAATGTTTTTAAAATATATAATACTAAAAATATATCATAATTTTATAGAATACAAAAAATATGATTGTAGGGTATCATTAATATTAAAAGAACACGGGAAACTTGCAGAAGACCAAATGGTCTTGTTATCAAGAAACCGCTTGTACTTGTATTATTTTTTGTATTTTCGTTTTACAATGTATCAAGTTTCACAAAATACTTCATTTTATATTAGGTTCACATATAATAAAATGTAGAAATAAAAAGTTGGTAAATACTGTTTGTAGTACACATAATACACATAAATATATTATTAAGCATAAATATAATTATAATTGACTTATATTAATTTTTTATATTAATATATATTATTGACGTTTTTTGGATTTTGTTTTCAATTAAAATTTTGGTTTTACTTTCAGTTTTAGTTTAGTGAAAGTTTAAATAATTGCTGATATTTAAAACAAACGTTTTTAGTAAGATTTTCAAACAATTTATGTTATCTAATTTTGTAATAATGGCATTTTTGGATATCAGTTTATTATAGAGATAGGGACCGCGAAACGAAATTGTGAAACGCGACAGTTTTGTTTTTCTGAATAGTACATTAAAGTTTCCTACTTCTCTAGTGTCATATCTATTTTTAATGCTTTTAAAAAATTCATTTAAGAAATATGGTAGGACAAGCCCGAATTTAAATTTTAGCATGCGGGTTTAAAATTGTTAAAATCAATATTCCTGCAGAAAGATGGAGCTGCGTTGTACTCACTATGTACTACATGTCACATTGACGGTGTTAATGTAAAAACAGTGAATCAAGTGATGTTGCTGATGTCACTTCTTAGATGTTTTTATATAAACTTAACTTTAAATCAATTAATTGCATTTTTTTTAGAGTTTTTAAGACTGTTTTATTGTATTTTAATATACCATGTCTCTTTAATTTTACCAAGTAAATCACATTTAAATGTTTCAAGATTATACATATAAAAGTTTACATTTAAAAAAAATATTGCATACATTAAAACGAATACATTATTTAGTTTTTGTATACACTCTAAATGAATGCATTATTTAGTTTATGTGTACACTCTAAATGAAGTTTATGTGTACACTCTAAATGAAGTTTATGTGTACACTCTAAATGAAGTTTATGTGTACACTCTAAATGAAGTTAATGTGTACATTCTAAATGAAATTTATGTGTACACTCTAAATGAAGTTTATGTGTACACTCTAAATGAAGTTTATGTGTACACTCTTAATGAAATTTATGTGTACACTCTAAATGAAGTTTATGTGTACACTCTAAATGAAGTTTGTGTGTACACTCTAAATGAAGTTTATGTGTACACTCTAAATGAAGTTTTTGTGTACACTCTAAATGAAGTTTATGTGTACACTCTAAATGAAGTTTATGTGTACACTCTAAATGAAGTTTATGTGTACACTCTAAATGAAGTTTATGTGTACACTCTAAATGAAATTTAATTAAAATTTACTGAATCTTACTCTTCCTCAGTATAATACATTTATTTTGTTTATCACTTTTTTTGTCAGTTTTGAAAATCAACTAGCAGTACTTAAAATTTAATTTTTTAAAGAGTATATTAAATATACTCTACAATTTTAAAATAAAATTTGACATATTACCTTTTTTTTTTAAAAAAAAGGATACATTACAGCAGAGTTCAGATTGAGAAATACAATTGTTGTTAATTTATTAACTTATTGGAAACTATTTATGATTTGAAAACTAATCTAGTTGTTTCAATTTTTTTTTACTCAGGAACCAATTTTATGGTGAAACCTGATTAACTGTTTCACAATTAAACATTTATTTATAATATTTTTCTAAAATAATTTTAGATTTATAGAAAGACTGTTTCTGTCCGCTTGCTTGATTTCAACTAATTCCACATTAAAGCCTTATATATTTTGCGCGTCATATTTTAGTTTCCTTAACTATTCACAACAATAAGGCCTACAAGATAATAAGATTGACTTTTTAATAACCTTCTCAAAACTATATTAAAAATTTTTTAATTGATTTTATTTGCAATTTTTATTTTTTTTAAATTTGTTATTTATAGGAGGAAATTCTCAATTCATCAAAAAAAAAAAGATATGCTGTATTATCAATTTTTTAACTTTTTTGAATTGTTTGTGTATGCTTTATTTGTATTTACAGTTTTTAAAAAACCTAATCTAGTTTGTACCTAATAAAAATGTAAAAAAGGATTTCAATGGATTTTCGTCAATTTTTCGCATAAATATTTAAGTTTTGCGTGGATAAATATAATCGCATTTTTGTGAAATAATAAATTGAAAATATTTTCTTAAAAGTTATCTTTTGAGGTGATTTTATTATTTTATGGCTATTGCGGTTTATCTAGTTATACTTGTGGGCTTAATTTTTATGAAACCGCAACCTTTTCGATTTATGACTTGAGGAAAATTTTGGTTTTTGACTTGAATATCTTATATTCATGTCAAAACTCATTTCTTTACTTAAATATCTTATCTTCCTGTCAATATTCATTTCTTTATTTAAATATCTTATATTGATGTTAATTTTTATAAAAATTAATTAACGTAAAGTTCTTCTTAGTTTTTAAATTTTTGAGACATATGATAGTAAAGCATAGGTTGAAATTACTATATAAAGCCTTTTCTATTGAATTTTTAAACTTATTTTTCTATATAATTTTTTTATTTAAAAATTATGAATTTCTATACAAAATTATACCAGAATTTTTATAGACCATATGTTTCGAATTTTTACGTAAAGGTTTTAGAACTATTTTTTAACAGTTTTAATAAAAAAATTCAAATTTACAGCTTCCAAAATTTCTGTTAATTATAACTTATTACCAGTGATTGTTTTTATTTCAGATATTACTATAAATTAATAGCTCAAACAAATGTTGAAAGACAAGTAAATAAAGAAGGCTTATTATCGCTATAGCAAACGAAAAAAATAAGGAGTTATTAAAAAACAACGAATTAAAAAAGGAGCCGAATACTCAAAGTTACCAAAATATAAAAAGCTAAAAGCTGATATAGAAAGAAAAATATAGAAAGAAAAGCAACAGAATTCTAAATTCAAATATATAAAGAAAAGCAAAAAATAAATGTTTTTTACAAAATAAAGTTTTAAATGCATACTGAAATCAACAACAGATTACTATTTTTACTTCTATAACGTGGTTCCAAAACATGAATTACTGTTATGCAGTTGTTAGTGATTGTACAACTCATGATAAAGAAACATCATTATTTGTTTTTGACAAACTGATTCAGAGCCGAAAGAAGTTGTTTAATTATGAATTTGGAGAGACGTACCTTTAACTCAGTTAAAAAACAAATATATTATGGTGGGTGATTAAATTTTTCTGAAAAATATATGGAATTGTTATAAAATGGAATCACAGTGCAAATAGTCATGGTAAAGGACCTGTTGACGGCTTAGGAGAAACTGCACAAAGAATTGCTTCTAATCACGTTATAATCAGAAAAGCTGTTATAAAAATACTGAAGATTTTCGTCACGTTTTTTGTAAGACTAGCCCAAAATTTCATTTTTTTTTAAACTTCATCTGAGCATATTTTTCACAGCATTATTTAATTGAATTTACAAGATATTTTCTAAAAATCAAATAAAGTAAGAACGATTTTCATTTATCATTACTTCTTTGTTTTTAATAACTGCATCCAAATAAAACGATATTTTTTAGAGTCTGAAATTTCAACTGCAAAAGTAAATATAGCCAAAGAAACAAAATGAGTTTTTTATGCATTTTGTAAGTCATGTTTTATGAAAATTGTCAACTAACCCAAAAACAAGAGTGAAGAATTATATGCTGCGAAACAATCATGTAATATAATATTATTATATTATACATAATAATGGCTAAATAGATATGTTCTTTAACTTAAACATCTAAATAACTGTTTGTTTTAATTTTTATTAAGTTATATCCTGTAATTAACGTTTATTTCCGTCCCCGTTAGCAACAATAACTAATTTGATTTACAATATATAAATAAATAGCTTAGGAATAATTTTACGTAATATAAATAAACAATCTTAGGAATAATTTTACGTGAAGAAATAGCTACTTTTTGTAATTTTAGAAACCTATCTATAAAGGTTAAATATTTGACTTGAAATATTCAACTGAAAACAACAGGTTAAATGCAATGCTTTTTTGCGTCCCCTGAGTAACACATCATATAATCAACAATTAACAATTTATAGACTTATAATGATTAAACAAGTTTGTTATATACAGGAAAACAAATGAATAATTTTAGGATGATTCATATTTATAAACATCCAATCTGTTAAAATAAAAATTATATATCTAAAAATGCGACATTACAAAAATCAACATGTTCCGTAAGTAACGGCGGAATTGCCCAGGTATGGTACTAAAAACCTTGGAGGAGAATAATAGCTTCGTATTGCAAAACTTATAGTTGCTCATGAATTTAAAGTTACGATTCTTATTATTTCGTAAATTTATTTGTAATAAATATATAGTAAACTACAATATATTAAATATAAATATGATAAACAATACTTTTACCAAAATTATTGCATATAAAAAAATTGTTGCCATATTTTTCTTTCTTTTCTTTCTTTTTTACGTAAAAAGTTGTGATCAAAAAATGTGTCTAAATGAAAAAATAAATGTTGTTAAGTATTCGTTTGAAATAAATGTTTGCATGTTTTAATAAAAATTTAATAACAGTAATTGTAATTTTTATTCGGTTAATCATTTAAAATGCAAAGTACGTTCTTTCTTTATTTATAAATATGGCGTTTGCTATTCAACGTCTACAAATTTCAACATAGTTTTTTTACAAATTTCAACATAATTTTTATTTTAACTGAATAAGGTCAAAAGATGTGTCTGAATTGTTTCTTAGAAAAAGTTATCCATGAAAAAAATATTTTCCCTGCATATTTATTTAAAAACTAATATTTTATATAAATATGCAAGTAATTTTACTTGTCTTAACTTTAGCGTCTTTTTATTCAACATATAATAAAAAATTAATTATAGTTGTTATTACTTTGCTTTGAGATTTAAAACCATGGCATTTTTTGTTCAATTTTTCTAATATTTTTTGTTAGCGGGTAAACTTATTTTAATCTAACCATGTGACTCTTTTTTATTATTATTGTGATGTGACTCTATAGACCATTTGCTTTGCAAATATAATCTGAGAGAGTTTAATGCAATAAAAAAATAATAAACATTTTAAAAACCTGTTCTTTGTGGTGGTGTCAGTAACATTGAATAATATAGTTAAACGTATTACACTCTTAACCTCTTCTAACTGCAATGAACTATTTATAAACTTTATGAATACGCTTATAAATATTTTATAAACTTTAGCTGAAAATCGGTTGCAATAATTTAATAGTAAAATGTTATTGAGAAGTAATAAAAAAAATACAGTTTTTATTTCAAAAAATATCAAATATTTGAAAATCGGTTGCAATAATTTAATAGTAAAATGTTATTGAGAAGTAATTAAAAAAATACAGTTTTTATATCAAAAAATATCAAATATTTATAGCTTTTATAACAATATTAATACAACATTATTTTGACTTGTTGAGGAAAAATGTTGCTTCGTAAAGAAAAAGAAAAGACTATGATGTGTTTAGTAAAACACATGTGAATAAGAACTCCACTAAAATAGAACTACAAAAAATGCAATAACCAATACTACTCATTTAATAATTTTATTTTTATTATGTTTTAGTACCATTATATGAGTATACATAAGTTAGGGACTACTAAAACAACGGGAACAGAAACTTCGAACAGATGCTAAAACGACAAAATAGTCTGTCGTAAACGCATCCATATCTTATTTGTTTAAATCAAACCTAATTTGTAATTTAAGTTATTTAACTAAATTTGAATCTATCAAATTTTACAAAATGTTATGTTGTATTTAAAATACATAATAATGGTAGAGAGTTAATCCTCTGACTTTTCATCTGATAAAAAAAATTGTAAATTCACCTATTAAAATTTATTTTATAAAAATATTTTGATATCGCTTTTTTTAGATAAAACATAAAGCATTTATTAATGTAATGACGGCAGTTCTTTTGAAATGAAAAAGCTTTTTTTTTTTAAATGATTAAATATTATGTAAATACCAATAAATTTAGATAGCTCATTACAATTTTTTACTTGTTAATTAGGTGCCCCAAGAAGTCCGAACCGTCTTGTCACAGAGCACCGCGGAAGTGCATTTAACCAGAAAGGTCACACTTTTTTCATTATAGTGACGTGAAATTAAATAATTTTTTTAGCTATATATTTGTTATGTAAATAAGTTATTTAAATTTTTTGTCAATTTTTTGTAGGGTGAGTTTTTGCTTTTTGTTAAGGTGATTTGTAGAACTTTATTGTTATATTACTGCAAGAAAACTACATCAAACCATCAAACTATATTTGATATGTTTGAAACGTATGATGTACCTTTAGATGCGGTGTGGATGCAAAAAACTGCGGTGTGGATGCAAAGAACCAAAGTAATTGTTGAAATGCAGAACAATGAGCTGGAGCTACCTTTTCCAATTTTTCTTAGCAATACTTAGTATTGGGTTTATGACAATTTAACCATTGAAGATAAGCAAGATAAATGGAATTCAAACAAGTACTGCTAGGCAGCGTTCTTATTGGATGTTTACAGTGCATATAAGATTTTTATGAAACGAACATTACGTGATGGAGAGAGAGTTGATATGTTTTTGGGTGATTTGAAACAATAAGTTTATCTTACGAAATTGTATGAAAAAACAGTACGTTTGTCATTTGTTTTAGGATTGCCCGAGTTTTTATCATCGCAATTCGCGCAAAAAAGGACCGTATTGATATTATGCTACTCAAAGTTAGAACTGCTTTAAACAGCGTTAAGATAAATGACAGTAATGTTAATGGTGCTGTGTCCAACATCAAGCTATAAAAAATCTGTTAGTGTGTTACAAGTGCCAAATGTTACAACACATTGCAAAGAACTGTATTTTTGCAAAGAACTTGTCTCAGGAGATAATCTTTCGATGTTTGGTGACAAAGGATATATAGCTTCAAGATACTTTAAGTAGAAGAGAAACGGGATGCTCGAAGACAAATTTAATTTAAAATTTTCTGCTCAAAAATCAAAATAAAAGTTTGAACTTTCTAAAGGTGGTAATTTTTAAAGGAAAAGTTCATCAATGTATTGGATCCGCGACTGTGATTGGCGAGGTTGGTGATGTCAAAATATACTATGAAGTTATTTTAGTAAATTTCGACCTTTCGGAGTTGATATAATGTTTGGTATGAGTTTAATTGAATATTATTAGAAAGAATTTTTATTTCTTTTTCAGGAACAGTGAAGTTTGGGTCCAGCAATTGCAGACTGGCAGTTTTACACAAAGACAAAGTAAACAAAAATGAAATTAAAAAGAAATGTCATTAGCTTGTTTTTGATGGTATTTTGAGAGTTAAAAGGAAACGGAAAGACGGAGATGGACCAAAACAAATGGTTAACAATGTCACCCAGATCGCAGTACTAAAACATAGTAAAACAAAAAAAGAAAGCAATCATGAGGATTGGATTAGGAGGAAATGTTTACTTGAGTATTTAACTATATTATAAACATTTGCATTTAGTTAACTACTGGTGCTGCGGGCAAGAGTACATAATGACTATATTGATCTAGTTTATCTATTAAGCACTCTTTTAATTATACAATGTTAAGCATGATAATATAAAAATATTTTCTTTATTCGTATATATACACGTAAGTATATGCATATATATATATATATATATATATATATATATATATATATATATATATATATATATATATATATATATATATATATATATATATATATATATATATATATATATATATATATATATATATATGTATATATATATAAATTATGTTATTGTATTCTACAAATAGAGTGCTCAATGTTCTTAAAAAACAGAGCAATAATAATTTAGTAAAAACACTTACAAAAACTAGGTTAGCGTTTTTACTAAATTATATATATATATATATATATATATATATATATATATATATATATATATATATATATATATATATATATATATATATATATATATATATATATATATATATATATAAATATATATATATATATATATATATATATATATATATATGTATATATATATATATATATATATATATATATATATATATATATATATATATATATATATATATATATATATATATATATATATATATATATATATATATGTATGTGTGTATAAATATATATATATATATATATATATATATATATATATATATATATATATATATATATGTATGTGTGTATAAATATATATATATATATATATATATATTTATACATACATATATATATATATATATTATTTTTTGAACTTTGTCCATTTTATTGTGGTTTTGAGTCATTCGCAATTATTCTATACTGTGCAAAGAGTGTTTTTTTAAACCATGATTTTTATCATTGATCCAAAAAGTATTGTTTGTATTTATACTTGCACAAAACAACAATGTTTTATTGTCATTTTTGTTTATTTATCATCACAATACATTGTTTGATTTTTGAAAGTAAGCAATTTTCTCAATATAAACACACAAAAAATTGTTTTTATAAAACATTGATATCTGACCAACATCACCAGACTAGAATGCGTAAATAACGCCACATGTTTGTTTTGATTTTTGCTATTGAGATTTTATATATATGTGTTGTAATTGCTCTCAAAACTTGTAATGTTTTTGCTCTCATAATTACTTTAAACTACTGTTATTTTATGCTGAAGTTTAAAAAAATGAGACGAAAAAAGTAAGTTCTAAAATCCTTTAAAAATATTACTGTTACTACGCTAATTGCATCAGTTAACGAAAAATTCACTGTTTATAGAATATCTTTTTTCTTTAAAATGTACTCTTTTTATTGTTATCTTTTCATAACAACATTATTTTATTGCTTTAAACTTGAAGATGTTTATAAATGCTTTTACTGTCACTTGGCAAATGCATTGTTGATTTTTGGATAAAATTTAAAAACTTTGTAAAAAATTATGTCAAATTTTATTTTTGTTCTTTTTAGAATGACTAAAACTAAAAAAATAATTATCAGGACAAAATGGAAAACTTTGAATTTGAAAAAGGCACTATATTATGTTAGAACTGGAAATACAAATGCAGCAGCATTGCGAGAATATAATATTCCTCAATGAGCTTTTTGAGACTGGTTGGCGAGAAAGGATAAATAACCAAAACGTAAACTAGGTCGAAAGACCACTATTCCCGAAACAGTAAAATCTGAGTTGAAGCAAATATAACGTATACAAGAAAAATGATTTGGTATAACAAGAGTTTAACCTAGAAACTATGCATATGAAATATGAACTCCATAAAATCTGCCATGTTGTTTAAAAGATGATATTGCTGGTATTTATTTTGATATTTTTTAATTTTTTTTTTTATATTTGAAGTTATTCTAAATCAATTTTGTCTATATATTTAATTCAGGTATTAAAATGAAATTAATTATACTAATGAAAAAAATTATTTCAGGCAAAGATTGGCGTGCAGGATTTCTCAGCTGTATCTGTTTAAAACTTAACAATCTTGTTGAAAAAAAGTCAAGTCTACGATAAACTAAATTTCGCACACCATCCTGAATTGATAAACAACATTAATGAATCTGGTTTGCAATTAACAATGATTGGCACTCATTGTAGTAATAAAAAAAAAAAAGAAGCAAAGCGTGTAAACACAGCTACTCATGCATATAGAGGAGAAACTGTCACTGTAGTTGCATCTAGAAATGCTACTGGAACCAATTGGATTCTACCTATAATTTTGTACTAAGGAAAAAATTCAAAACATGAGTATGGGAATAATATGTCACCTGTAAGTATTTTTCGCATAACTCTAAAAGTATATATTACTAAGGAAGAATTTTGTATCTTTTTGCGTCACTTTAACCACCACCAATTGCTAGAAAAAGCTTTGTTGAGTTTTGATTGACATCGTAGTCATTTGGATATTGTTGTAATAGAGGAAGTCGAAAAGTTAACCATCCATACTAGCAAAAAGCAACCCGTAATACGGGTTTTGGACGGTCTGCTACATAATTAATTTATAGTGGCTGTTTTACAAAATTTAATGTTGCAAAACCTTAACTAATACCCTTTTAGAAAATCGCCTTCAGCTTGAAAAAATTAATCCATCTGTAAAATTAACATAAAAAGTATGAGGAGGTAAAAAAATTTACCAACTACTACTAAACAATTACTACTTAACATTATTTAAGTAATTTACAAATGGCATAGGTCATAACAGTGAAAGGCAGAACCATTTTCATCGACCTTCCTAAGTTTAACACAATACGTTTTTAGTTACTGACACAAAATAATAACACTTGGTCATGCTTTAAATTGACGAAAGTGTCAACTAAATCCTTGTAATAATTTTTATAATACGAACCATTAAGATTAAAATGAAGTTAACTTATATTATACAGGAGTTATCCCCTTGATTAATTATTCTTTAGAAAAGAAAATTGTTAACTTTAAAATGTTAAATGCACACATTTAAATAAATTTATAAAAAATAACAAAGTTTATTATAAATAACTACGCAAATGAGTACAAATACCTTTCAAACAAAAAAAAAATTAAATTTACGATCAAACATGGGTATAACATTTTTTTTAATGCATAAATGCATCATATGACAAACCTAAAATAAAAATTATATGAGATAAGTAGACATAAAAATTTGTAAACCAAGCTGACCCGACCCGAGTCTTGTTAAGTCTGTTTAACACAGACCATTTCTATATTATTTTTTTGGCCTCTTTATTTCATTAATTTTAAGCAAAAATTCCTATTGTTAAAATTTCCCTAAAATTTCCTAAAAATTTCCTAAAAATTCCTATTGTTACTCGAAATTTAATTTTCCTAAATATTTTGACTCTAATAAAGAGGTTCCTTCCCGCTTTTTGCTTTAATGGTGGCCAGGTGAATAAAATAATAAAATGTAAAACAATGATCTACATATATAAGAATGTTTTCTTTCTTTCCTCAAAAGTGTTGCAAATACAGACTAAGCTAACTAATTAGTTAAACACATAAAAAAAACTTAAGTAACTCGATATTAAATGCGCAAAACTACAACATTCTCCATGTTTTTAAAGGTTTTTAGTTACGAACTCCCATTTACAAAGATCCCCTTAAAATACGTACAACAAATTATTAGGCATAAAATAGATAAAATATAAAATTAACTAATAGCATATATTTATATCTTTTTAACTAACAAAAATTTACAATAAAAAGAAATCAGGTTATTTTATTTTATAAATCTTATAAATGCGTCATAACGTAATTCTAAAATAAAAAAGTAATGAAATTATGATATCATAATTACAAAGAAAACAAAAAAACAAAAACCACCACACAATTACCAAAAATCGATTTACCCATTTATAGTAACCTATTTTGAAATTGCAGTTAAAGATTTATCGAAAATGTAACTATAAAACCTGTTTCGAAGTTCCAAAGCAATACTAAAAAAAAAAATCAAACTAAGATATAAATTGTTGTTTTGGCTTTTATAATTTAAACATATATACAACTATAAACAAATATGACTTTATGTAACACGTATAAACACATTTTACAACTATTGAATGATAGATATTTACCAAAAACAATGAAAAAAAAAAAAATAATAATGATAAAGTTACACATACAAAATGTGCTCACAACCTTTAACAATAAATTTTCGAAATGAAAATCTAAAGACTATAAATTAAGAACATTAAAAAATATAACAATATTTGTTACATTTTTTAACCTACTATACCTTGAATAAGATGTTTATCAATTTTGAAAAACAAACTATTAAATGCTATAGTTCTTGAAAATGCAGCATATAGTTGACCATGAGAGAAACACGGTTTTGAGATATTTCTTTTGTCTATATGTTTAATTTCGCGTTACGTAATATATAGACGATCCCTAAGAGAAAATACTTGAGACTAAAAAGATTTTATTTATTACAATATTTGAACAACCAAGGGACAATTTAAAGAATTATATCTTTAAATAGTAAATTATCAATCGCAGTATTAAAAAATACGCAAGAGCTTAGTAATTACAGAGTTTAATAAATTCTCAATACTAATATTATTTAAGTCTCATCTAAGAGAGAGAGGAAGTGTTTTAAAAACAGCATGTTAGAAAAAGTAAAAAAGTCATGCAATAAATAACAGTAACTGGTTTTATTATGCTACCAATAAAAAAAATTATTTTTACCTTGACTAAAAATTAATTTCCAGCATTTCTTGATTAAGTTCCAGCTTCTCTCTAACTGTTGTCAAATGATTAATATTGTAAATTTCACGTCATATTAAATTTACAAAATTAAAACCATGTTTCAACAGTAAGCAAAATAATCAAGTGATGACAAAGACAACTAAAAAAAAATGAACACAATTATGTTTAAGATAACAAAAAAAAAAAAAAAAAAAAAAAAAAAATTATTTGTTACTATAAAAATAATAAAATAATAGTATAATTCATACTTTGCTTTATTTTAAAGTGTCTAATGTAAAGTCAAATAATAGACATCAACACTGCTTGACACTGAATTCTGTCAAGTAAGTTTTCGATTCATCAAGCAAAATTTCTTATATTTCAACGACAATTAATTTTATTACGCCTAGATCTATTTCTTTCATATGACAACAATTTCAAGTCACCTATAACCATTTACACTAATAACTTCTTCGAGCCTAATATTATACATCTGTTATCATTAAATATATATTACCAGTGATTATACTACTGTTACAACTGAATAAATGAACGTTTTATATTTTTACAACTGAAAAATATAAAAAAAATTTATTGACATTATTTTAATTTAGCAAAGAATTTAGAACACAATGCAAAGTTATTTGCATTGTGTTCTAAATTCTTTGCTAAATTAAGAAAGCCTTCAGGCACAATCTTAATGCACAAAAATAATAAATGCAGAATCATATCATAATATAATATAATAAGCAATGTCAGTCTAAAGTAATATATATGTATGTATATATATTCAAATTTTTTCTATTCTTAATTTTTTCTTTGAGATAATATTCATATAGATTCAGAGAAATATAAAATATTTTGATATATAGGCACATTTATGTATATAAACTAACCTGTCAAAAATTAGTCAGTTTTCCGTGTTAAATACATAAATATAAAAAGAAGTTGGCAATGCACAGTATCATTAAAATATAAAATTAAACAAAACATTAAACTTACTCAAATCAGTAACAGTTCGACTGTCTAAATATTTTTATTATTAACCCTTCTATTTAAAAAAAGAAACAAATGATTTGAAGTGACTAAAAAGCACTTTAGCTCTTTCCAATTGCACTAAAAAATAAAATAAATCTTGCTTTGCTAAGTTGCCTAGTTCTAGAATCTGAAAACAAATAAGTAAAAAACCAAGAACAAACAAACATTTATTTACTAAAACTACTCTATTTCAACAAATTAAATTAAACAGAGAACAACATTGATACTTCTTGAAAGCTGAAAAACTTTTTATCTCAAATTTGCATGTAGACCTTGCTTATAAAACCACTTGAATAAGAAAAGCATCACAAAAGCCTAGAAGCTACTTAAAAATGATATATGCAACAATGAACTTTAAATGTTGATTGGAGTAGATTTTTTTTTTAAATTCAAAATGATTTGTTCTTCTATAGCAAATAAATACACCATAAATCTGAAGTTAAAAATGTAACAAAGAAAAACATATGTGAATTGAAAATTAATGTACCTGATAGAGATAAGCTGTGGTGATACCTGAGTAGTAGTTGCTAAATATTATTTTTTTATGATAAACAAATAGTATTTATAGCGAAATGAATTTCAGTAAATAAATAAAAGCAGTGAGTTCTAATAATGAAACTACTTATTAATCATTTTTAACAGCTGACACCAACGTAAAGATAAACCAAAGGTAACAACATTACGCAAAAAATTATTAAAGATAAAGCAATCTGTTTTCACAATAGTTATATTAAAGGCCAGGCAACACTTAGACCTAAAGCAGTAACATCGCTTGACTGGTAAGGTTGATAAATCTTGCTCTACACGTTTGCCAAGTCACTTCACTTTGAAATCATGGAAACAACATTATATAAACATATATACTAATTATAAAACAATATATTTTTTTAATGTTACTTAGCATATAAAAACACCCCATTTAACAATCTTGCAGAAATTAGATATAATACATTTCATACTATTATAAAAACACATTTATAAAACAACTATAACATATATCACCACATACACGTATTTATCAAAAAAATATTAACTTTGATCATAATATACATGCAAACATATATGCAAACTTTTAACAACTATAAAACAACATTTATTAGTATCAATTATTTTAAATGTACAAAGAATGCAGACTATAATGAACGACATTGTTACTTTAGATAAATATATACTGACATATGTCAGTCAGTATATATTTATCTAAAGTAATGAAAAAGAATAAACCATTTAAAAACAAAATTAAAAATTTCTAATGAGAATATATTTAGATACCTTAAAATGAAGCATAACACAACACTCTTTTGACAAATTCCAGAGCAATTTTTCTATTCCATATCATTTTTCCTTAGAGAAAATATACATATAGATATAAAATATAAAATAGACTGAAATAAACGCAAACTTATGTATATAAACTTACATGACCACAAATAACAGTCTTATTTTATTTAACATTTCATATTAAATACATAAATAAAATTTTATTCTCATTATTCTTTCTATATAAAAAAAATCTTAGCCTATGCATGAGAAAATGAAGTAAACTTACTA